GGGGGGGGGGGGGGGGGGCGATGACAGGGCGAGGCCCACTATATGTTTTTTTTATGTTTGGTATGTGGTATTTGGAGAACTCACCAAGCTTCGTGCTTACAGTTTGTGGTTTATGGTTTCAGGTACTTCCGGTTCGAAAGGGAAGGGTCCGACTTGATCGCAGCGCATACACCCGTGTTTTCCGCAATATTGATTTTGGGAATGAACTCTGATAATTGTTTTATTTTGAAATTCTTTTAAATGTTTGGTTAAAAGTACCTTAATGTTTTGGTTATGCTAAAAATGAAATTTTTACCCTTGGTTTTCGGGATGTTAGACCTTAGCTACACATACTTATATCGAAGACCCTAACAACTATTGGGCTAGACCTATATACAAATATATTAGAAATAAATAAATATGTCAGCTTTGAATCTAACGATTCTCATCCTACGCCAAACACTTATCCATTTATTTTCATCTTTCGGGTTTCATTATTTCAGTCGGACCGGGTCATAAATCTATTTAGATAACAAATTCCAAGTACCGTTGGTGATTTTATATCAGTAATGTTATTTAAGTGTAATAGGGTTAATTTGTTGATCACTGTCACTTTGACAATTATTGAACAAATCGGTATGTGCGGAGTGCACATTTGTTTAATATTGTCTTTATTGAAAGTACACTGCTATTTAGGGGCGAAGCCCCTGCACGGACTGGGGTCTGGGGGCAGCGCCCCTAGGAGCGGGGTCCAAGGGGCGGCAGCCCCTGGCGGGGTCCAAGGGACAGAGCCCCTGGCTGGGGTCAAGCTGCCATGTCAGCGCGAGAATTTTTTTATATATGTTATGTTACTATATTAAAAAAAATGCATCAGAAATCTGAATTTTTGGTAAATGTATCCGGTTTTGTGATCCACATTCTAGACCCGAATTTAAGTTGGTTTATGACGTTTTGACAGTTTTAGGACATAAAACTGTCATGTGACAGTTTTAGGACATGAAGTTTTTCTGGTTATATGATTATATTCGAAATCTATGGTTGGTACACTTCTTCTTCATAACATCTTGAACATTCTCTCTTCTGTTTTCTCAATTTTCCGAGTCTTATCCGATTAGAGATTGTGAGTACCACCCAAATACTTTAATCTGAAAGTGTTTAACACGATTTTCAGAATTTTCAAGCCTTTTTATTACCCCGAATTTCTAACAAGTACTTTCTAACATTCTAAACGGTCGGTAAAAAGTGTAGATCAGATTTACAAAATACGAGGAGCAGTTGATTCATCAAGTCTAAATGAATTTTGAATATAATTTTTCCCATTTGTTTTATAAGTTGTAGGCTGTTATTCATGAATGAAAAACCCTTTTTTATTTGTAGTTTTATATAGTATTTTAAAGGAATCTATCTTATAATATGATTGTTGATGAGATTAAAATATTCTTTTAATCTTGTTGCACATGGATAGAAGTAGAACCCTCTCCCCGAACACATTTACAATGACAAAGTGGTGAGTTCGTTATCATTTAATATTGAAGATGCAAAATTCTAATATTTGTTTATTTATTTATTTATTTTGAAATAGTTATAACGCATAAATGCCAGAGAAAGTACACTTACCCAATTGGCAAATATATGATGTGTAACAAACATGTCCCAATGAATCCCTTCAAGTCTAAAATGTTCTAAGCTGAGATAACGAGGAAATTAATATCCCCAAAGTCTAAAACCCAAAAGTTTACTATTTATAGGCTAACTGTATGTTATTATATACAATAATTTTCTCAAAGATATTATGCAGAAATATAACTCATAAGCTACACTTTAATACTTATAAGAAAGACTAGACTATTTTCTTAAATGAAAAAAATTACCTCTCATATAAAGATAATCCATATAAGAATAGTCCATGTAGCCTAAAAAAATAACTAAGTTAGAGTTTAAACATTTTATTTCTTTCTTATCTATAAATTTGGTTTTTGTTGTGCAAATGGTTTCTGACCGTTCTTATACACAAGTAGGGGTGAGCATGGTGCGGTTCGGTGCGGTTTTTGGCTAAAATCGAACCGAAAACCGCAACTTCGGTTTTTTGAAATTTAGAAACCGCACCGTTCGGTTTTTATGCGGTTCG